TAAATAATGACAGCAACAACACCGAGAATAATCACAATGATGACAGCAATACAGATGAGGATGAGAACAATCTCAACCCCAATTATTTTAAAAAGTTGAAGCGGGAAGGGGGAAAAAAAACAAACAAAAAAAAAACTTCCCAGTAAAGTCTCGGCTCTTTAAACAAAAATGTTTCATTCATTACTCGCCGCCCTCCGCTTTGATGTTCAACCCAAGCGAGATCACTGAAGCTCAAACCAGAAATTAGCATGCGATTAGAACGTGCTGCTAAACACGCTCGGAGAACACGAAGAGGGCGTGGGCAAGTTACGCAAAGACGCGCACCGACGCTATGACACCCGACGATGTCGTGCGCTGCCGAGATGCGACACGGCTGACGTTAAAGTAGATGAGTTGAAAAATAGATTTCATCATTTTTAAACAATTGGTTTTTGATACATTGAATGATTCTTAGTTAATGAGCCAATTGTTTCAGAGAATTAAAAAAAAAAGAAGAAGAAGAAGAAGAATCTCATACCCTAACGTTTGTTCTAACTGGGTAGCCAAGCAGCAGAAAACGCCGGCGTAAGTCAACAAAGAGCCCCAAAGTGGAGGACGGCCTTCCGGTGAAATGAGACAAGCGAGAGTGAGCGGCAGACGCAAAAACAAGATTTGCCTGCCATGATTGCAAGACAGGAACTTGTCGCATGCGCCCGTCACTGGAAAGGAAAAAAGAAATAAAGAAGAATGAAGAGAAACACGTGAGAAGAATCTCACAACGGGACCAGGCTCCAACTGAATACCAAAAGCAAACATCAGTCCCGCAATTTTGGCCCTGGCGTGAATTATTTAGCGCGCGGACGCCATTATCGGAGGCCCGACTCCAGCCCTGCTGCCACACTTGGAGGCCAACTCGCAAGGTCGTTTTGCTAGCGAGGACGAGGGGGAGCGCGCATCCCATTCAAGGATGAACACCGGCGGCGCCCGCGTGGACAAGGACGCCCGGCCTGAACATTTCACATGACAAACGTGGAAAAATGTTTTTCCGATGGGTTCAAATCCGGCTATCCCGTCCGGCCTACGGTTTCAGGGTGACTCAGACCCAAGTGACGAGAAGCAAACACAAACCTTTCTTCTTCTTCGTCTTCATTAACTCGCTGAGCGGCGGCGGCTGTTTTCAAGACTCACGCAAGCATGCCCTCTGTGACAAGAAGCAGCAAAGCTACCGCAAGAAAGAGGAAAAAACTAACTTGACTCACTCTTGTTCTACACCGCCATTGTGGCCTCCTCTCGTGTGGAGACCGACATGACCAAGAGTGAGAACAAGCACGAAGGAATACTTAAAAAAAAAAAAAAAATTAAAAAAATACTCCTTGCACATGACTCCTCCTTGCACATGCCTTATTCATATTTAAAAAAAAAAAAAATTCTTCACGCATAATTTTCCCGCGGGACACACAGTTCCAAATGTGCGTTTCTGGGACGCAAGGAAATTTCTTAGTCAAAAAAAAAAAAAAAAAACTACGGTACATCTTTTTTTCCAGCAACGATCACAGTTTGACAATCGCCGCCACTGTTGTTTTGATCTGGCGTTAAGTAATCTCGCATGACAAGATTTCCGTTCTCGCGAGATGAGATTGGCGAGATCGGCAGACGATTGCCAAGTTGTGTAATGTTAAAACAAGTGTTGCGAACAAGTGTAGCGAAAGTTTATTGCGGAGACATTACAGAGTAAGCAGCTTAAGTTGAATAGTTTTTTGCGATGATAAGTTGACTTTGAGAAAGCCGCATCATTGGTTGGCGAGATCGGCAGACGATTGCCAAGTTGTGTAATGTTAAAACAAGTGTTGCGAACAAGTGTAGCGAAAGTTTATTGCGGAGACATTACAGAGTAAGCAGCTTAAGTTGAATAGTTTTTTGCGATGATAAGTTGACTTTGAGAAAGCCTTGCATCATTGGAAGCAGAGTAAAGAGAGGAGAATTTATCAACTTAAAGACTGAACCGTGGGATGAAATAAGAACCTATTTCTCAGCAAATCTTGTATGCCTGAATTATTTACATTTTTGCAGCATTTTTTTAAAAGAAATAAACCGATTATCAATGTATATTGTTGTTTGTGTTATTATCATATGCAATTGAATAAGTAGACCATTTCAGAATTCGAAATTTGGGACTCTCTAAATGCTTAATGGGACTCATACTTTTCTGATCAGCGAGTCCCTGGGGCTCAAACTGTAAAATTATCACTGTGTGTGTGTGTGTGTGTGTGTGTGTGTGTGTGTGTGTGCACACTCACACACACACACACACACACACACACACACACACACACACACACACACACACACACACACACACACACACACAAAGTGGTTCTATATTGTTTACATCATGGATTTTCAATTGGGTGGCTTTGAAGCATAGAGCCCCGCCACCCACCCCTCCCCCCATGATAACCTGGGGTTCTCTGTCGTTTAATAATCCAAAGAGCCATGAATATCGCCCCCCAAAAAAAAATCCTCTTCATCACTTTCTCCTGCTGCTCATTTAACCTCCATTTCGTGTTTGGTCTCGCCGCCATCACTGCTCAAGCTAGACTTTAGGACGCTTCCTTCCCTCAGCGCTGTTGGCTCTGGCCCACATCAGATAACACAGTGGGCGCGCGTGTGTGTGTGTGTGTGTGTGTGTTTGTGTGCACGTCGACGCTCATTCATCTCCTCATGCACAGGCATCCATTCACAAAGGCTGATCGCGCACAACGATAACGGGGAGGAAGAGAAAAAAAAAAAACTGAGCGACGTCGGGCAGGAAGCCACGAAGGAAAAAAGAAAAGGAGAGGTAAGGAAGTGATGAGGGAGAGGTGAGAAAGGAGAAGAAAAAGAAGGGAGTAGGGAGAGGGAAGGATGAGGAAAAAGGAGGGATGAGAAAGGAGGCAAAAGATGAAGGTATGACGGCTTGAGGAAGAAGAAGAAGAAGGAATTAAGGAGAAGGAAGGAAGGAAGAGGAATCAATGTGCCGAATGAGGACAAGGAAGGAGGAGTGAGGACGAGATTGCAGCTGGAAGAGGAGAGGAAGATGAAGGAAGAGGTGCAGGGAGCAGGAGATTGCAGCTGGAGGAGCAAAAAGAGGATTGGAAGCAAGCGTTACGGAATTGAAGGATTACAAAGTACAGCAGGTGAGGGGAGAGAAGCCACGCACAAGTTCAGCGTCAGGGTTGCACCAAAAAGCGACGAAGCCAAGAAGAGAGACGGCGGAATAACGACGGCGGGAGCGAGGCGTTAATTAGACGAGGAGAGTAATGAACCCTGGCAAGAAGAAGAGAAAAAAAAAAAGACGAAAATGCTTCTCCCACGAAAACAATTCAAGTGATCCGCGTTGTCGAAACAAAATGTCTTCACCTTGAAGATGAGTCACCAAGAAGTGCTTTGATGCAAACATGTCCACGCACGTTCGTTTGTGGTGGAAATTCGCCTAGCTTCTACGTTCCGCAGGCTTTCTAATGCATGGACTACTTCCTGTCATGTGACCCGTGTTTTAACGCTATTCCATGTGTCTTATGACACCACTTCCTGTGTTCCTCTGCGGCTGCTTCCTGTTCTAATTCCCGCTTGGTAACAAAACTTCCACTTGTCTTAGTTCTTGTTTCAGTCATCAGTAGTACCTCGCATTCTTTTTTTTGACACCACTGCTGCTTCCTGTCCCCTTTCTTCAATTTCCTAGTCTACTTCAGGTGTTACTCTGCCAATACTTGCTGTGTTATGACACCACAACGCAACTCCTTACTTCCTGGGTTCCACATGCTACAATCTTATCAACACGTCCAAGCAGGAAGTCAATGCAAACCAAAGTTGAAGGCCATTTAGGTGACTCGCCTGAAGGCGGCCATCTTGGCCATCCCGCGTCAGCCGTCACGAGACAAAACACGGCAAGGCGCGGCGAGACAACCCCAAGTTTTGCGGTCTTGTTCAGCACTTGACGTAGTATCAGGGCGGCCGACCTGACCAATCCCGGCTGACTTTGGGTACACCGTGGACTGCTTGTCGGCAATCTCAGGGCGCAAAGACAAATGAGTGGTCGCCAGTTGAAGTCAGAGCGCATGTAGCAGTAGCCAATCGATCACAGGGTATATAAAGACAATCAAATGGAAAGCAGTCAATGACAGGAAAACAAGCAACTGACTGGTCGGCATTCAAACACAGGGTACGCAATGACGAGCAATGAACTGGTCTACATTCAACGACGGGCCATATTTCGACAAACCGTCGACCGGTCAGCAGTCAATCACGTACAAACGCGCAAGTCCAGTGACACCTTTGGACAATGTCGTGCTCCTCGATGAAGCCAACAGGCTAACCCGCAGATTGCAAGTCGGAAAGCGGAGAAGCGTGAGGCAGATGTGCTAGCCGCTAACCACTCACTAAAGTGAGGAACAAAATGGAGGCCATCAAGACGCAAGGCGCGATGAGAATTGAAAACGGCAACAAGTCAACGGGTTCGAATGCGAGTGCCCGTGTGTGAACTGTTGAATGCGCCTCCGGACAATCTGCATCATGATGATGATGATGATGGAGTGTCATGTGTTGTTTGGTTATGCGCGCATGTTTGTGTGTGTGTGTGTGTTTTTGCCACTGCCAGTGTCAACCAGCTGCTCGAGTGCATGTGCTGCGATGTGATGTGTGGCCCAAAGCTTCGGGTCGTTGAGACCCCACTGCAGGATGCTGGAAGGAGCAGTGTCGCACATATGCGCAACAGCCACAATATGGTGCACGCGTGTGTGTGCGTGTGCGTGTGCGTGTGTGTGTGTGTGTGGGCTTGTACCTGTGTGTGTGTGTGTGTGTGTGTGTGTGTGTGTGTTTTAACAAATGTCCCATGAGTGAGTCACACCACTGGGACTTGGCAACACACTCACCAATGACAGAAGGGTCAAAGATGCATTTTAGCACGCGGTGTGTGCGCGTGCGTGCGTGCGTGTGCGTGAAGGGCAAAGCTGGCGTCAAGTGACGTGCGCGCGTGTACTCACAGTGCACGCGAGGCTCTCGTTCTCGTGCTCCTCCCGGCGCTGCGCTCTCACTCCATCCGTCAGTCATCCATCCACCAGACGTCCTTTGCTCGTCATGCCCGCAGCAGGACGGCGTTCCGGCGCCCCCCGCGCGTCATGTGGCACACATACGTCCCCACGCCCCCCCCCCGAGAGGAAGATGATGATGTCTGCTGGTCTCGTCCGCTGGGCCGGGGCTACATGTTGCCGCTGTTGCTGCCGTGCCGCCTGCGCGCGTGTCTGCGGCTCGCCCAAGCGCCCGCCCGCCTGGTTGCTGGTCGCCTTAACATTCAGTATGTACCCACGTCGCCTAGCAACGTCTCTCCGCTGCCCTCTCTCTCCGCCTCGGCCCCTCCCCTTGCCGCTCTTCCGCGACACGTGTTGAATGCAAACCAAGTCATGCCGGCCGCCGCCACCGCGTCCTTTGCTGCCTCCTCCCGTGTGCTGCTGCTGCTACCCAAAGTCAAGGATTCCAATGCACACTTTGATTCCCCCCACGAAGGACGGCCTTCAAACCCTACTTAAAAAAACAGAGTCCTCATTTGAAAGCCTGAACCTGCTTTTGAACGCTAACTTGGAACTATAATAATAGGTAGGGTTTCAAATTTGACTGCCTAACAGGGAAAATGGTTTGCAATCATACTTGCAGCCAGGTCTAGATTTTCAAAACACGCCTACGACTTAAAGAAAAAAAAAAATTTATGCCTGATTTGCAAGCCATACCCTTGTCATTTGAAACTCTCACCTGCCTTCAGAGACGAAGTAACAACAAATTGAGGGTATATTTGAAAACCTTCATACTTGCTTGAGTCCTTCAAGATGCTGAATGGAAACAAATTCCATCCTGCCGTGCATCCTTTCCTGCTTCCTTGCCTCCTTGGGGGTTCTGGCCGAAGAGTCTGATGCAGACTTTGGTTTGCTGTCTCCAGCTTGTTCTTCATCATTGACATCGTCATCAGCATGGTGAGAGGTTTACCGCCATTGGTCGTCCAGCCTCCGGGAGGCGCCGCGTCTTCCTGCTGACAGCAACAAAAATAGAAAAGACGGCCGAAATGTTGTCGGCACCACGTTTAAAAATAGACTTCAATCACCGACCGTGTCACATCTTGCTTTTTCTTTATGTCGCCTTGACAAAGCAACCAAGCAAATAGACGACTTGAACGTCACCCACAAACAGACGACAAAATCTGCACCAGTTAACGGGGAAAAAAAATGTCAAGGATTCCACTTTGTCTTTCTTCCTACACTTTGAAACCCAAACCTTGGTTTGAAGCGAGACTTGGAGAGCTTAAACTCGTTCGTCTTGAATACCAAGCTTGGAAACCTGAACACAATTTCAAAACGCAATCTTAAAACCCTAATCCACCTCTAAACACGATTTAGATTTTTTTTTTTTTTTTAACAACTGGTTTGAAACCCTAAAAGCCATACTTTAAAACCATAATTTCGTACGAGGTGACTGTCCTCGGTTTAAAACCCTTCTTTTTCAACCTTAACCCTTGCTCAAAACCCAACTTTGAAACCTTCAAATCTAAAAACCTAAACCTGTTTTGCAACCCCAATTTGAATCTGTGACCTTGTCTTGAAACCCTACTTTAAAGTGCTAACCCCAGTTTGATAACATTCACCCTTGAAAAGGGTGAGGACACTGGTCAGAAATCCTCCTCCTGCCTTGAACCTCTAAATTTGAAACCCTAATCCTGACTCCTCTTCAGGCAATCCAAACCATGTCACGCTGGTGCGCGCGAACAGGAAATGACAAACAGCGCAAGCCAATGACATCTGTGTCCCATTTGCACATTTTCCGCTCGTTTCCTGAGGGCGTCCGTCCGGCCGAGGCGAAGCGAGCGCAAGCAGCCGTAATGGCGGCAAAGCGTGGAAGGTGCTCATGCGAGCGCCATTATTTTTCCTTCTTTTCGTTTTGGCCATGCTTAATGTTCCTCATACTGCCGCTTTTGCTGCCACCTCCTATGACCCAAGGAGGCGCCGCCGTGATAACGAGGAAAGAAAATGTGCAACAGTCCATGCGCTCACGAAAAAAAAAAAAAAAACGGCGGGAATGCGGCGCTTCCCGGGTCAATTAGCGAGCCGACAAGAGAGCTGGGTCGCGCCGCTTCTTTTGTGGTTCCACCGAGCTCGGCAGGAGGCCCGACGTTCATCCAAAGCTTCCTGCGCTAGTTTGTGTATATTGAAAAGGAAAAATGGACCGGCAGCAGTCAAGGAAAGTAACCAAGTGCTTATTGACTATTACTGTCTTCACCCTGACAACAACATAGACACAAAAAAATAGACATATATCCACACACTTTTTGTTTTGTTCCACTTGACCTCTGACAAAAAAAAAAAAAAAAGGATTTTCTCCACTTTTGGGTGGGAAACCCATGTTCAGGGATGAGAGGGGCTAGTGATGAAAAAATTTTGAAAATCAGCCGGGGGTCTGGGGGCCGCAGCTAATGGGTTTTAGAGATTTTAAAGCCTTCAAACCATTAATTTGATCAACAAAATTTTACAATTTTTGTTGAAATACCATTCCCTATTTGCTTACAAAATTGGCACTTTATACTAAAAACGCGAAAGATGAAGTGTATTCAATGTACGCTCTACTTGAAACTTGCACAGAAAAAAAAATCCCAATATTGTTCACTATTCTTTCAAGTGAAAATTTGACATAGGCCTTTGTGCAATTTTGCTTATGCATTCCTGGTGAGCACCGACATGTAACTTCAAATTTGCTGCTCAAAATCAAAAGTAAAAAAGGAAACACATTCCCTGCCGTATTTAAAATTTGTTCATTACTTGTATTAATAAAAAGCTGTTGATTTTTACCTCATACAGTGATAGTGAAGTCCCGAACTGTGTTTGCTGCTGTTTACTAAAGAACAGAAAAAGGCCTGAGCAAGGCTATTACAAGCACATTTTGTTTTGCTAACAAGAAAGCCATTTGTGCGATTTGCCGCTAATGTGCTGTAGCGGCACAGTAGTGCATAGGGGAGACATCATCAGGTGTGCTGTGGGAAATCATCCAATTTCTCTTCATTGGTCTGAAAATGACTTTTTGGACTTCATTATAGCTTTTCAAGCATGACCCCCCCCCCCAAAAAAAATAAATATATATAAATAAATAAAAGTATCACATTTCCCCTTGACTAAAACCAGTTTTCAAATGCAGCAAAACCAAATTGTGAGTTAATTGAGATGAGATCATTACTTGAGTACTTTTTAGATGTGTTTGTTTGTGTGTGACGCCAAGGGTAGTACCAACAGCCAACTCTCATCAAAGCAATTTTTTTTTCTCCTCCAAAAGCGAACAACCACACCGTTCGTACCTCAGTTTTGGAGTGCGACACAAACACACACTTTGCCATTCAGGAGAGAAAGACGCGGCACACTAGTGCCATCCTCGCCCGCCAGTAAGACAAAGGACAAATGTGGGCCTGGGCCCATTATTTGGCCGTTTATTGTCCCAGTTCTCCTTATCTTGGTGTGGACAATGTGGAAAAATATATCAGGCAAGAAAAATCTTGACAATTAGGCCATGTAAACAACAAAAAGCTGGACAGCGGCGCCGAAGTCAAAGCGCATCGACTACTTCCTGTCATCGCGCCCTCTCGTGACACTGTCAACACGCGGCCGTCATGATGATCGAGCAGATGTCCGGCGAGACGATACGGTGACGGGACACTGAATTAAACATGAATGCAAACGCCAGAAGGAAAAACGGGGTTTGTACCGCTTGGAGAATTTGGAAGCTTAGCTGCAGCCTCAGCCTCGTTTCGGGCCTCCTCTGTCACAAAAATATTTTACCTGACCAATATTTCTCCAAGATGGACGCCATTTTGACAGTTGGACGGGACGCAGAAAATCGAAGAAGAAGAAAACCCACAAGTGATACATTTCCAAACAGGTTAATTTTGCTTGCTTTGTCACCAAGCACAGATCAAATCAAATAATGTCTCTCCTGGCCTTCTCAAACTACACTTTTTTTTTTTTTGGTCATTCCAACGGTCACACTGTCAGACTACCAGATCGTTGTGTTGGAACAGGCGGCAGAAGAAAAGTCCGTCATCGACGTTTACACTGGAGGTGAACACACTTTTTTGTCACAGTGAAGTGCCACATGTCATTTTCAAAGACACACACGCGCGCGCCAATGTTTAACCTCATTTACGCATTCGCTTGCACTGATTAATAAGCATCCAAAAGTTATAATTAATTTATGTGATAATTTTGCGCAATTTCCCACTAAAGTCCACTAAACATATTTCTGCTTCATGCTGTGTAACTTTTTGCACAACTTCTTAACTCCAAATGAAGACAATTTACATGGTTCAATGTCATTATGGTTAAGCTTTTGTGGTAAAGTTGACTACATTTCTATGAACGAAAAGCTTTAAGGCGAGTTCAGGAGCAAGCCGGCTATAGCCGTGAACATGTGCTGTTGGGATAGCCAAAGGAGCAGACAAGGAGCTTTCCATCGGTCCAATGTTTTATTGTTTGCAAAACAAACAACAAACTCGAGTACTACTCAGTTTTACCACACGTTACTGAAGGGCACAGCAGTCTAACGACATCCGACCGAGTCCATGACATAAAGTGAGGAGAAGTGATCAGTTTGACATCATCAATTAATGAGGCGCCACCGTGTGGCGTCATATCGTACTACCACATTTGACTGTTGTACATGTACATGTGTAACCGGTAGTGTCCGACTGCGTTGTGTTTAAAATATTGACGACGCACAGCAGAATTTCTTGTATTGGCTGTGTTAAATCGGCTCAATCACAAAGCCTGACGAGAATAGCAGAAAACAATGTCCTCCCGTCAATTAGAGTGATACAGCGTGTCCCTAAACAAATGATATGGCACAGCAATATATGAAAATACTTTAAATTGTAAATTTTTTTCCAGCTCTAAAAATGCTTACCTCCCCATGGACATCAAGTGAAAAGTGGGGGGAGTCAAAGGCGGGAGTTGTTCTTGAAAGAGGCAGTCCCACATTAATTTTTGAAGTAGAGGAACAGAAAAACATATTTGTTCCACCCTTTTACAATGGAGGATATAGTAAAGCAGTGGTTCTCAATTATTTTCTGTCATGCCCCCCCCCCCAAGGAAGAGGAAAACATCTCGCCCCCCCCCGCACGACTATAAATAGCATCATTTGTCTATAAAATTGTCAGAAGTACACATTTACATAACACCGTATCCTTATTAACGTAGAATAAAATAAAAAAGAAAGAAATATGGACCAACTTACAACAAAGAATAGCTTTAGTAACTGTAACAGAAATCATTTAAAGTGCATCTGAAATTCAAAAATAACATTAAATCCTTAATTTAACTATAAACATTTTTTGACTGACCATGTCAAACCATACGATACTGAAAAATAAAATTAAATAAAATCAATAACTAATAATGGACTCAAACTAATCACCAAGATTATCTCGGAGCACATTATAAAAAAAAAAAAAAAAAAAAACAACTAACCAGCAAAACAAAAATACAGTATATCGCACACTCTGCCAATGAGAGCGCCACTGCCCCCTAATGTAGTGAAGGTGCAATTGCACTTTATTCTAGTACAGTAAAAAAAAATCTAAATAAAAAGCATGTTCCCCGAGGTCAAACGCGAAATCGCTATTTCAGAAACACTGTAGTAAAGGAACACGTTAGGAATGTATCATTTCACAGATTGTGTGTAATTATAATGTACATTTTTTTTTTTTTTTTTTTTACTGTCCCTGTTACACATGTTTCGACTGCGTAACTTTTCTCCCGAATCTTACTAAACGTAATCGCTGTTTGGGCATTTGTGTTCTCATAGCACATGTCTTCTTGCAAAATTTCCTGCTTGTAAACATGACTCTTACCCTCTCATAACTTTCAGTCCAATTTTGTTTCAAAATTGCAGTGGGCATGTATATGGTTCTAGTTCAATATGCACCTTTTTGGACAAATACTAATTCCCATAACGAAACTGTACGTGCTTGTAATTCATCAAGCATAACTTTTTGTGACAGAATTTTACTAAAATGGCTGTTTGGGTAATACTTGTGCTTGAATTCACTACAGTGTGTGCTTTTTTCCTACTAAATTCAAAGTTTGCAGGATTTCCTTTCTAATTGTAACCTACATATTTAACATCAACAACAATCATCACAGGTACAGTTTGTTTGACTTACTTCTTGGTGACTTCACCTTGCTTCCACAGGTCCCCCACCAGTCGTCCGCTCGTGCCGAAGTTGTTGAAAATTTGAAATACTTTAAATAAAAAGTTGTCCTCAATGAAAATAAGCAGGCCATAGACGTGGTTGACAAAAGTTTTCCCTCCCGCTGTTGTCGTCCTACCAAACGCACCTGGTGCAATCAACTGGACGCGTTCACAAAGTCACTCGCAAAAATAAATTTGGCCACCGGGTGGCGTGATTGCTCGTTTTACTGTAGCTCCAAGCAAAATTAGTGTCAACAAAATATTGGCTCCAATAGTCACTTCTAGGTAACGACGCGTAACTTGTCTCATTTCCGACTCAGTTGCATGAACATTTACATCGTTGTCAGTGAAACAAATGTACATGGTTCTAATTTAGCGTTTGCATTTTGTGCCTGTGGGTGTGCAGAATCTTCTTCGTTCGAGCTGTTGACTAATTGTTTTGATTCACTACATTCAGAACATCCCTTTCGTTCAATGATCTACTAATTCAATGAGCTACTAAATTCCAAATGAAGAAGATTGAGATGGTTCTTATTCATCCTGCTCCTCCTGAAGAAAATGTACATGGTTCGAATTCAAGTTATTTTTGGTACACATTCATATGAAACTCCATTGAGAAGAATGTACGTTTTCAATTCGTCATAACCCCGTATGAGAAAATAATGATGAATCTTCCTAAATCTAGTTGGACCGGATGTGCTTTGATTCATTCTCGGGCTTTTTGTACAATTTCCTGCCAATTTCTAATGAAAACCGACAAGTTTCATTCATTCTGCGCAAAGATGTACAATTTCCAATTCATCCCGCTGAAAATTTCTATACGAAATCTTACTTAAATCCCAATCATGAAAATTGTCCTATAATATAGAAGGAAAGACAAAGTCGAATGGTGTCAAGGAGAAGGTTTTATTGATAATCAAAGCGCCATCACCGTCGTCACACACGCACACACACGAAAACGGGGTGACGCCGGACCGAAGGGTGGCGCTGCTGAGAGTTGGGCTTCTCCAGAGTCACCAGTCGTTGGCAGGCTGTCGTCGCCATGGTTACCTGTAGGCCGCCATTTGCACAGTGCGGACATTGAAAAAGTCTCCAAATGGCAAAATCCCCCAAATAGAAAAGACGGACGCGCATGCACGTCGGCTTCCAGAAACCTCCCGCTCAAACGTCACGAGTTACTGTTTGTCTATTCAAGATAAAAAGTGGATAAGAATATTGGAACTACATTACCCAGGACGCACCTGGGCTCCACGGAAATCTAGTCAAGTGAAGGAATAACAGCAAGTGGAAGAAGAAACAACCGCTACAAGAAAAGCGGAGAGCTTTCTTCAGCTTTTTTTTGGTATTTTTAGACCTTTCAGGCTTCGTTTGGTTTTGATCTCCCCACACAAAAAAAAAAAAACAAACCCTCTACTGAGTGTGTGTGTGGTGAAGATGAGCCCAACTGATTTGTGGCATCAACCATCAAGGACAACCACCTGTAAAAGTCAACAAGCCTTTAAATGTGAAAGCAAACGTTATACTTGTTTTTTGCGTAGCATTTTTTTCATGTGTATTTTAAATAACTCAGACAAAAATACCTGAGAGAAAAATGACCGCCCAAATTTTTGTTTTCCTCTGTAACACCTTCCAAATATGTATATTACAACTAGAATCACAAAGTTCAAGCATATATAATATACACATACTGTTTATTCATATTACACATACAGTATATGTATATATATGTGGATACATACACATATATGTATGTAGTGAGAGGAGAAGGAGTTGAGTATGAGTAGGGAGCGTCCGTCATACGATGGACACGTGGAAGTCCACACACCCTTTCATCCAGACACAAACACAAGAGAAACTCAAAACACAAATCAAGGCTTCACAGGCAGTTCACTTGGGTGGGGGTGGGGTTGGGTGGGGGTGATAATGGGTGAGTTTAAAGTCAAGGACCGTTTCAGATCAGCACCATTAAAGTCCAAAACAACAATGACAATCTCTGCGTATATTGCATGGGTGTGATGAGTTTGTGTTTGCGGATGTGTATGTATGCATTGTGTGTGTTTTTGATGTGGTGGGAGGGGGACACATGCCTGTTTTTGAGTTTCTGTCTCAGGGATGTGTGTGTGTGTGTGTGTGTGTTTTCCTTCTGCTGCAAATGTAAGAATGGTGACAGAAGTAATACAACGCAACGGTGCCGAACGAAGGTGCGTTCGGCGACCCGTCAGCCAATCAGACGTGGCTAAGTAAATTGCTTAACGAGCTCCCAAAAAAATCCAAAGAAGAAAAAGATATCGAACATCTGATCCCCGAACTGCCTCTCAGCTCTCTCAATGGTTCCCAAGCCCCGCCTCTTGCCCCGTATGAAATCCCTGATTGGACGAGATACATTCGGTTCCGCCGGCTCGGGGCGAACAAGTGCAGCGCCTCCCTCCGCATGCCTGCTGTCGAAAATCGAGGAAAAGTCCTGCTTGCCCGCTCGTAGAAAAATAGACATGGCCGCCCTGCTTCCTGTTTGTCGGCTTGAAAAATAGACTTGACACATAGAAAAGAACACGATACGATTGGACGGCGGATGTCGGACATGTGTGGAAAGTCCCGATGAGGCAAAGTGGGAGCAAGCTGGGTTGACACGTAAAAAAACGGTGGCAGCCAGTGCCGCATAGTGTAGCCGCATAGGCTTTCTGTCAAAGTTCCACGAAAGTGCTGCAGTTGTTAGCCGTCCCTTCGCTTCCTCTGCCACCCCCGACTGACTTGCTTCCCGTTTGTCCACTTGAAAAATAGATTTTGACACGTAGAAAACAACAGGACCGGCCATCAAAGTGATAACTCGCCACTTCTTGCCGGGATGGGATCGGCTGCAAAACGTTGCCGTGTATCGTGGACACATTGTCTTGACTTTTGTCACGAGAGAAGAACACAAAGCGAGCGGACGCCATATGTCAGATGTGTAGCGAAAATTCAGATCCAGATTTAGTGGCGTGACGTACTGAAAACAGCGCACAGTCACATCGTGTTGCCGTACTGCGTCGTCTCCCCCAAGTCTGCGCCAGACTTCTACAAAAATGTTTCTCTTGATTGGTTGATTGGTCGCCACACTGCTTCCCGTTTGTCTTCTTGGAAAATAGACTTTGACACACAAGAACATGACACGGTTGGACGCAGTGCGGAGTATCGGGGTGCAAAAGTGAGAGTGAGCTATGTTGACGCGCGCAAAAAAAAAAAAAAAAGGGGCAGACCCAGTGTCGCTTCATGTTATACCGCTTCGTATGGGCACATCACATCAACAGTGGTATGAAGGACTTCCTCTAAAGTGCTGCTGTTGTTAAGGTAAATGCTCGCCGCTTGAAAATACGTCGGCAGCGCAAGAAATCTCAATTTGGGAGGTCAGGTGGGATCCAACTCTATGGCATGGCGCTAAAAAAGGTGCAGTGTCGCATGGCCTTTCCATCTGCACGCTTACCCCAGACTTGTTCAGCTGAGTGGTCGCCACTCCGCTTTCTGTTGGCCACTTTGAAAAATAGACTTTGCCACATAGAAAAGAGGAGGCGGAGACGACCGGACGTGTGCAGAAAGTCCCGATGGGAGGTGCGGTGCAAGCAGGAAGGCGCGGGCGCCGCAGCGGTTGGTCCCGTCCGGCGGACTTCCGCTAAAGTGCTGCTGTTGTCGGGTTGACTGGTCGCCATCCCTGGCGGTGGGAATCACAGGTCGCCATGGCGACTCTCGTACTTGTTGATGATGTTGCGGCAGCGTCCGAGCTCCTTGCGCATGTCAGCCACCTCCAGGCGCAGGGCGGCGTTCTCCCGCTCCAGGAAGGCGGCGCGCACCGAAATCTGGTTCTCCTTCAGTCGCCGCGCATCGCGCGAGCGCTTGGCGGCCTCATTGTTCTTCACGCGACGGCTCCAGTACTTCTCGTCCTGGTGGAAAAGGGGTGGGGGGGGTGAGGTTTGCAGAGAGTGTGTGTGTGTGTGTGTGTGTGTGTGTGTGGGGGGGGGGGGCAGGAGGGTCAGCGACATGATGATTAGGGAGGCAAAAAAAGGATGAGTAGGGTTACTGCTCATATCGTTCTCGCCTTCTATCTGTATATTATCCCTCCTTCGATTGTCCATCAATCCTCCAGTCATCCAACCATCCATCCACGGTCATCCATCTATCTCGCTACCCATCTATTATCTATCATCCATGCATCATTTACCATTTATCCATCGGTATAGCTATCATCTACTTATACGTCCAACTATTTGTCCACCATTATATATCCATCCATCTATCGATCATCCATCCATCAATCACCCACCCAACTATAGCATGGGTCAGCAACCCAAAATGTTGAAAGAGCCATATAGGACAAAAAAAACAAAAAACAAATCTGTCTGAAGCCGCAAAAAAATAAAAGCCTTCTATAAAACTTACAATGAAGGAAACATATGCTGGATGTATGTAGGAGACTGGACTGTCTCAGAATTGTTTGTTATTCATTCCTTTGTTGTGTGTTCACAAACGCCCCCATAGAATTTATTTTGTGATTTCCTCGCTTGATTTTTTGTTTTGGTGCATTATTTTCGCTTTTCTTAGTGTCAGTGAAGTGGTCATGGATTTCTGTTTTTCGGAGGCTGTCTTTGAACGCCTCTCGAGTTGAAGAGAAGAGAGAAGGCACGGAGTCGGACGCAGACATTTCTGTGTTTGTGTTTGTCGAGACTGTTAAAATCATAAATAAAGTGTACGTTTTAAAAAACCAACACCACAGCTCTCCTTTTTCAGAGCTGCAACATGTCTCTATATCTATGTGAGCTATATTAACCTACTATCAAAATCGTTTTCCATTTTCAAACATTTTTATAAAGCTCCAGGGAGCCACTAGATGTTGCTAAAGAGCCGCATGCGGCTCTGGAGCCGCGTGTTGCTGACCCCCGAACTATCCAGACATCCATGTGGCATCCAGCCATCTGGTCTCCTATCTGTCATTATCTTGCCATCCAGTCATCATCCATCTACCGTATTTCTATTCATCATTAACCAGGGATTCATCCACCCATCATCATCAGCCATCCATCCACTGCACTAAATAACATATCCTTTATTTGTCCCACACTGGGGAATTTTACAGTCTACAGCAGCAAGATTGTGGGTAGAAAGAAGAAAGAAGTAAATATCATCCCGCCTTCTATCATTATCCATCCATCAATCCTCCACCCACCCCACCTTCTATCAATCATCCAAACATCCTACCATCCATCCATCCGTCTAACAGCGAGGTGACATGCTGGCGTTTGTGGGACTTATAATACCTTCTGCTCATTGGGCACGAGCATCTTGCGCGCCTTCTTGATCATGGGCTGCGGTTTGAGCTCTTCATCGCTGAAGCGGTGCCGGCGCGGGTCGAAGGCCTCCTGGCCCGGCACGCTGGAGAGAGCCACATCGGCCGGGTCGGGGTCAAAGTACAGTCTAATGTCGCCGCCGCCGCCGCCCGACGTGGCTGTCGACGCCCCCGCCGAGCCGGGTGGGCCGCTGGAGGTGGGGGACGCGTCCTGGGCCGCCACCTGACCACCTGGAGGGAGGCCACCAGAGGGCGTTAGTCGGCCGTATTGACAACTCGCAGCTTATTTTATTTTTATTTTTTTGGAAGGGGGGGTTCATATTTTTGCATTCATTTACCATATTGGCCCGAATATAAGACGGTGTTTTTTGCATTGAAATAAGACTGAAAAAGTGGGGGTCGTCTTATATTCGGGGTCTAGACATTATACCCATTCGCGACGCTAGATGGCGCCAGATAACATTGAAGCGAATGCTGAACTTGACTCCTCAGGCCAAAACGAACCCGTCACGAAGAATAAAAATAAAAATAGCGGTAGTACGAAGAAGAAAAATAAAAAAATAGCGATCAGAAAGAAAAGAGAAGAAAATAATAGAAGAGGTAACAGAAAATGGAGAAACGTAGCGACAATCTGGAGAAAAGTGGGTCGAAGATCGGCCAGGTTAACCGGCAGCTGAGGAGAAGTTATGATGTCATTTACATTTTCAAAAACCAGAAGCCATTCATTTACGAATGTGATTGCACTTCGTTATTTATTTGTGTATCCATTTCTCCAAATCCAGCCCGAGCCTTCCTGTGTGGAGTTTGGTCTCCCCATGCCTGCGTGGGTTTTCTCCGGGTAATCCGGTTTCCTCCCACATTCCAAGCACATGCATGGCAGGTTAATGGAACACTCTAAATTGTCCCTCGATGTGAGTGTGAGCCCGAATGGTTGCTTGTGGCCTGCGATTGGCTGGCAACCGGTTCAGTGTGTCCCCCGCCGACTGCCCAAAGACAGCTGGGATGGGTTCCAGCACAGCCCACGATCCTTGTGAGGATAAGTGGATTAGAAAATGGATGGATGAATAAAGGATGCAATGACGTTGCTTTGCATTTTTTTTTTTGTCTCACTACTAATGGATGTCGCCAGAATCAAACCATCGCTTCCCTTTCAAGTAATTTGCATTTATTTTATGTTCATCACAGATTTCTGTCTTATTATTCGACTTTTGGTTTCGCTTCACCGCAGCCCCAAAATTCAGCTTGATGATCAGTTTGTGTTTGCGCTCGTTGCCTTGAAATACGAAATAAATGCTGAACGTGCACCTTTTTGACAGCGTGTCGAAATCTCGGGGAAAGATGTGATCACTTGGCACACAAGCCCATGTGTCACACGTTGCCCAGACACCCCCACGCTGATTCAGAATCAATGTTGCCATGGCAACTGTCAGCCCGTTGCTGATGTGACTGCTTTGAAGGCACCTGAGCGTGCGTGTGCGTTCACAGCAATCCCGCACGTGCGCCGTGCACGCCGCCCTCCTCATCCGCCTCCACACACTTGCCGCTCCATCTGTCTCCATCATCCTCATCCTCATGCGCCAGCTGATCCTGACTAAACCAAAAGAGCTGCATACTTTTGTGCTTGAAAACTACATTTCAGAGACAGTCATTTTTTAAAAATCATTTTATGGAGTAGAATCAGTACTTCTCAGAGTCTTATTTTTGACGTTTTATCCATAGTTCAACTGAAATAAGAGCACGTGAGGCCTTTTGCCTCCTAAAACAGCCCCGGGAACGCACAGAGGTGACACGCCCAGCGTCAAGAGAGCAAGGTGAAGTTCCGCTACCGGCGCGAGGACGTGCCGCTGTCGTCCCCACTTCCTCCCTCGCTCTGTCAGCAGCCTCGTAGCCCTGCTGGCGGCGTGCCGATTGCCACGCAGATTAGCGAGTCGCACACCAACATGTTCTTGTCCCGAGTGACATCATCACACACTGTACGTATGTACGTGACGTGTGACCGTTGACTGGCTGTGGAGGTCAGAGTCAAAAACTGGGCTTCTGAAAACCCAGGAAAAAGACGGAACAGTTTTAAAAGCTACGACAATGACACGACGATACGCTCCGTTCTTCATCGCGGCCCACTAAACAGTCACATGGAATCCAATTTTACGAAAATGATTTCAAATTCGTGGATCTATTTGTGTGTAAATGTCGGCGCCCGGTGCTTGTGCAGGTTTTGTCCCGCGACCCTGCTCAAAGTCAACAGGAATTGCGGAACCCGCATTCGCACCCAGAATTTCAGGACTGCAAGGCGACTCTTTTGAGCACGAGTGCCGCAAAGCAAAACACGACCGCATGCCACAAAATCCCACATGTGCATGAATAAAATTGCAAGACCTATTGGATTTTTCAGGCGCGCACGTCATGTGATTTCTCCACCGATTTAGAGATGCGATGATTTTCTGATTGTCAAATGGAATGCGCCTGGAGCCCAAGCAGGCAGGTCATGTGACCAGCGTTCTCGTGCAAAGGCAAGCCGGTTTGCTTCTTTTCCTCCCTCCCTTCGGTGCGTGGGTATGCTCACTCACAACATTCCCCCCCCCCGCACACCCCCACCCCTTCGGCTCCCTGCAGCGGCACGTGACGTGGCGGCGGCACATGGCCCGAGCGTGTGAGGCGGCCGGGGAGCACACATTTCAAAACATGCAAAGCAAACTCGCCTCACTCGCCTCCCTCCCTCCCTCCCTCACTCCCTCCACTCTGCACAGTCAGCCTGCCTTAACTCTTCCCTCGCCCGTTTTCCTGGCGGAGGTAACACTGACAGACCACGTCAGACTCAAAGATCAGAACCACTCAGAATCAAATAAATAAATAAATATCCATCCATAAATCCATTTTCAACACCGCTTATCCCGAAGGGGGATCCTGTCCCAGCTGACTTTGAGCGAAAGGCGCACAACCCTCGAACTCAGGCGTGTCAAACTCATTTTTGTGGCGGGCCACATCGTAGTGATGGTTTCCCTTGGAGGGCCGTTATGACGGTGAATTTTGTGAAAGCATATAAATGTTTGATAACCGTCACATATTACATACACAGCACACAACGAATCGATGGATACGTAGTTTTGAAAACAAAAGTCAAGAATAATGACTTGTTTCAACACTGTTTACGGTCATGTAATAAGGGGTTTGGAAACGAGAAAATGCTTGCAATATCTCCACGATATTATGGATTACATATGACAAGTTGAAATTTTGGTTCAGACTTTAGCGAGCGTGGTGGAAGTTGACATGCTTGATTTGCTTTCGTGGGCCACATGTAACGATGTGGCGGGCCAGATATGGCCCCCGGGCCTTGACTTTGATACATGTGCTGGTCGTCAGTCAGTTGCAGGGCACATATAGAAACAGACAACCATTGTGCACCGTCACTGAATGGGGACCAATCCAACGCCGCCAACACAAAAGTCAGGCAAGTGTACCTCTACACCATCAGCGACTAATAAATAAATATGACAAATATTATATATTTAAAAGCTAAGGTGTCTGACCAAAAGTTACGCGCTCAATGCTAGCCTATGATCCCAAAAAGCCGAGACGGGCAAGTGCAAATGAGCAATGATAAACCTTGAAGTAACTGCTACTTCATTGAAGTCCAAGATGGCGCCCGAGTAGGCAGCCGTCGGCAAGTGCTCTCATGAGCTTTGCTTTTTATGTCGATTTTGTGTTTGTTTTGTCACTTTGTGTTTGTTGTTGCGTCGTGTTGACCGGATGTGGATTGTTTGTCAGCATTTTTTGTCCACGACATTCATCAAGGAGGAGACTCGGTGCTTGGTGGTTGCGCCTTCTCGGCAGCATGGGGATACCAGCACTGTTTTTGATTGGGAGGAATGTCGGTGCCATTTTACTGCCATTGCTGGACAGCTCTGGGGCGCTTGTGTTTTTTTGCGCCTGTCATGGGCAGCATTTTTCACAGCCCTGTTTTGTTCAGAGGAAATGTCGGTGCTCTTGGACAGTCTGCGGCTGGATGGATTCAAGGCTTGAGGAGCCGACGATGAGAAGAAACCATCAACGCAGAGCGCCGATGTGGAACTGGGAGTCGCGGCTTGGAAATGAAGCGGATTTACGTGGGACAGGAGATGTGAGCCAATCTCTTTTCGTCAACGGACGCTACAGCTTCGTGTTTGCTTTCAAAACTTGAGCTTGTAGCAGTCGTGCGCACATTTTCAGCATGACGTCTCTGATCCACTGGTGAAAGGACACTTTGAACCTCTCCTCTTTCATCTAGAACTGCTTCAAACAACAAAGTGTATGCAGGAAAAGTGATTTCAGATTGCACGACTGTCTGTGTCTTATGTGTTGTGTTGTGTTATTTTGACTTCAAGATGGCGCCGCGAGAGTGGCTGCCTTTCCAGCAGCTCCTATATTTTGTTCTTCTACTTCTTCCTTTCACAACTTTGCTGCTGAGAATTGGGAATTTCTCTATTGCGAGACTAATAAAGGATTTCTTATCTTACTTGCTACGGAACAGCAATGCATACAAACAGAGCGGACGACATTACTCACAGGTGCACCGCCTCTCTGCTCATTCGTCAACGACTGGGCACATATATACGGTCAGGCAAGCATTCACATAACCCCCATCCTCCCCACCCCCACCCGCCCACTATCCGTCCATCTGTGCGACGCATGATTGTATGCATCCAACTCTTCTCTCTCGTTGTAGTAACACTCCAGCAAGCAAGCGCCACTACCACCGCGGGGACTTCTGGCTCAATGCTTCCCAGTTCACATTGGGCTCCGTCACGTGTTCACAGCGCGCACACGCAGGCACAGATGAGCGAGTGGCTGGACACTCGTGTGCATATTGAAACTACTCTGCACTAGAGTACGTAAACAATGATGGTAGAGCCTATTCTGCAGTGCATTTTGGGTTTCATTTGGCCTTGCAGCCGCTTTGTGCGATGCAGTCCACATACTGTTGGACACAACCTTGTGCAAGAAAACCTGATGTTGCGCACAATCTTGTCAAAAATGCCGCACGCGATGTCGCGCACAAATGCTGGAGACAATGGTGTACTCGATGCTGCACACGATGTTGCATCCAATTTCGTTGCGCGCGGGGGCTGTGCACATCATGCTGTACTCAATGTTGTCCACAACATTTTCGACAAAGTTGTACGCAATGCTATTTTGAATAGGACAGTTACTGCCGTTGGCCGGCAGTGACAACGTCCTGGAGTCGCGTCTTTGCACATTGTCTACTCCAGAAATGGGAGACTGGCGGCCCGCCATCGGCCCCATGCTCCTTTTATGATTTTTTTTTTAAATGTTATTTTTTCTCACAAACCCAAAACATTCTTCAAAAAGCGCAAATCAATATTTAATATACATTTCTGATTTTTTTTTAAAAATGAAGAGGAACTGGGGAATGAGATCCCTGGGTGGGGGGGGGGGGGGGGACTCAAAATATTTTTAAAAATATTGAAGACAAAGAAGAAAATACACGTGAGTGTTTGCGAATCCGTGACTTTTAAGTTGTACCATCACTATTAGCCACGAGATGGCAGACATGTCTTTTGTTGCATTTTCAGCGGCATTCGAGGAAGGTGGGAAGTCAGAAATTTGCCACTGAAACTGGCCCGGTTCCGATCACAAAGTGTTCGAGGCGAATATAAACAACAAAAATGGCCGATTCCGATCCATTGTTTGTTGCTCTGGTACATGACAACACATTTTGATCTCGGGCGAACCTTCTTCAGAAGTTCCTTAATTGATATAAAATAAAGGAACGTCTTATCTTCAAAGCAATTCTTTCATAACACCAAATAACTTCATGAGAACGGCATGTCTTCATGCCGTCGGTACAAATCACGTCGCGTTACGTGACGTACTGTCAAATGACTAAATGAATGTAATACAGTATTAAATAAAGAAAGCTAAACATCTGTTCATAATCTTGGATTTGCCAATCACGGTCTGCGTCTCCATGTGGGTCGCCATTGTCGAGTGACGTCACGTTGAAGCTGCTCGGTGAACTTGGGGTCCTTTTTTTCACCCCGACTTCACAACTCAGACCTCCCAGCGGCTTTCCAGTGCATTTTTCCTAGTCGGGGGTTGGAAAAGTTAAGATTTCCCACCGTCCTCCAATGCAGCGCACTCTATTAACTCATTCAGTACCAGCCAATTCTAGACCAAGTCTGAAAAGACGTTTAAAAACGTCTTTGGGAGTGAATAAGTTAATTACTACGCGAGTAGGTCTTTTTGCAGATTTGAATGATACGTAAAACATACACAGTACCTCAATATGAACGTTTTGAGTGAGTTGATTTTTTGCGAAAAAAATAAAATGAATTCTTGCACTTAGTGTTGACTTTCTTGTTCAACTGTTTTGGAAATCCTTGAATGATGTTTTGTAATGCAAGAGTCCTTTGCGCTGGAAATAAAATTACAGTGGTTTTTCAAGAGCAGGACTTTGCACATGTGTTTGTAGTTTGTCTATAAATTTAAAGTGGCATTTTTGTCTGGTTGCCGCCTATCTCGCACTGAAGTTAGAACTCGACCCCTCACCTCAGAAACGGGCAACTTTTGCCAGTCAATGGGTACTCAGACCTGCAGCACCAGCCCTGTCCTGTTCTGTCCTGACCTGTGCTGTCCCGTGTTGTACCACATTGCTGTAAGTTGACTTACCGTGCAGACACTCGGGTGCTCCCATCAAGCCTTGCTGCTGAGGCGGCGGCGCTTGGACGCTCTCCAGTCCCAGCAGGGACGATGAGGACGACGACGACGACATGGAGGAAGAGGACGAGCACGGCGAAGGAGAGCCGGGCGGGCACTGCGAGCTCTGACTGGGGACTGCTGATTGGGAGCTCTGATTGGACACAAAACAAAAATCAGTTCAACATTGACGTTGTCTTGCCTGCACTCGAATAGCTCACAGGCGTTTTGGTGAACCCACTGCCACCAGATTGCCTGCGTCACTATTCCTGTCCCGTTCTATGCTGTTTCGTCTTGTGCGGCCCTGCACTATCTTTTCCCATCCTCTGCTCTCCAGCCCTTTCTCATTCATTCCAGATCCACCTTGTCCAGTTTTGCCGCATCCTCTTTAGTCCCACCCTGCCATGTACTGCTCTATCTGTCCCATCCCATCCTGTCCTTTTTCATCATGACCTCCCCTATCCAGTTCTGTCCCGTCCCATCCCATCCTGCGCTGCCCTGTCTTGTCCTGTCCATCCTTCCCTTTCCCATGTGTTTCCCACTTGCGGTTAGCTACCTGCGAGGGGATCTGCGCGCCGGCGGAGCTGGGCCCGTTTCCGTGCATGCCCATTCCATTCTCGGTCAAGAACTCCTCCAGGTCCATGTACTGTAGCTGGAACAGGCCACCATCACAGGGCAGCGTCCGCTCCCACAGCAGCGGGCCCAGGAACGCCGACTGTGAATTGGGCCGCAGCGCCCCTGAGCCCAAGCCGCCGCCAAGAGCACCGGGCCCGCTGCCGACGCCCAATCCTAACGTGTCCTCATCCGAGTCCAGCGGTTTGTCTTTATCTGCCCGGGAGGAACGTTTGTGACAGGTTAGCATTTTGGGACGGCTCAACATCGGCAAAATTATACAAGACAATCTGATGTTAGCCGAGGAACTGCTTCAAACGTGGGCCTCCCACTTAAGAAGTGCTGGCTTTAAATCTCTGCTGCTTAAGACTTCCTGAGTAGTACTTGGCGTGTTGTCCTCATGCTCATTAAAAAAAAATAATAATAAATTTCTTAGCATCACTGAATACCAATCAAATGTCCCCTGCTATGAATGTGAGTGGGCATGTGCATTTGTCTCAAGGTGCCCAGACATTGGCTTGCAACCAATCGACATTTGGTTCGCTCTCAGCACACACGCAATGCAAAGCTAGAGCCCAAAAAAATCTCCAATGCCATGGCTGAACTTCGAACCCAGTGACAAGAAAGCAGCAGTAACTCAGAGCCAGCGTCCGGCTTCCAGCAAATTTCAAGGATAAAACCAGGCCAAGGCACCAAGCGCTGAAGCGTCGGCTCATCCTCTTCCTCTCTTTCATTGGCATCCAATACAGCAAACAAATAGTGCCACCTGTCTCTTGGGTTCAGCAACAACAGCATCGGTGTCGCCAGTCAATGTCAGGGTGCATAACGACAAAAAAATGGAGTGGTCGCCACCACGCCGCCATTTAACTCTGGAGAACCCAAGAACCCTTTTATTCTTTGGAAAATGATGAATTTTACATTGAATGACTGATGTTTTTTCAAATATTTAATGCTTTAATCCTAATTTAGGATTAAGGCCAAATTTGACCCTTTGGGATTTAAGGGTAGCATTTGAGTAGCAGAATGTATAGGGGCCAAATTTGACCCCATGGGTTCTCCAGGGTGAAAATAGGAGTGACCCTTGAACAACGTGATGGCGTCAATCAAAACAAGGACCAATGATGTCAACATGAAAGCGTGAACGTGGGGGTTCAGCACGTTCGGCTAATGAGTCATTCACATTTGATTGTGGCTTGTGATAGGACGCCTGTGACTTTGGGGGCCGAGCAGGAAGCTCCTTCATGCAAATTACATCTCAGACAGGCCCACAAGCCTGACCAAGAAAACACACACACACACACACACACACACACACACACACACTCCGTGCAAATGCAAAGGCATGTGTGTGTGTGTGTGTGTGTGTGTGTGTCACACACACACACACACACACACACACTGTGTGTGTGTGATGTGTGTGTGTGTGTGTGTGTGTGTGTCACACACACACACACACACACACACACCCCGTGCAAATGCAAAGGCGTGTGTGTGTGTGTGTGTGTGTGTGTGCGCGAGTGAGTGTACACAATGTCAGGGCACAAACATAGAAGCGATGGAGTTGCCACCACTGAGTGATACATAGTCAAATAATGGAGTGTCCACCATTTCAGGGCACAGTCAGACAAAAAAACGGAGTGGTCACCAAGCAGTGCAATGTTCACCACACTCACTCTCAACGACACAAAATATGTGTGTGTGTGTGTGTGTGTGTGTACAACGCTTGGCTGCTGTCAAGACACTGTTCCTTTAAAATAGTGAGTGCGGCGACGCATGTACACGAGTAAGAGCACGAGCACGAGTACTCCCGCACGTTCTTTCGGTGTGTGCTCACCTTTGATCTCGCAGCAGTCTTTGCTGCCTCGCTGGTCGGCCTTGATGGGCAGTTGCAGGAGCGACTTGAGATTGTTCATGGAGGTTAGGTGGCCGCCCGGGGGGGCGCTCGACGTCCCGTTGGGGGCTCCAAACTGGGCGCTGGCCCCCCCGGGGAGCTCCGACGGCGGCAGCAGCTGAGCAAGAGGCCTGGACATAACTTCCGACTGGAGGGGTTGCGGGGGTTGAAGATCAAAAGAATCCAATTAGGTCCCCGTGAAAAAGGTGCGCGTGCGCGCGACAGTTGCGCGCGACGGCAGCAGCAGTAGAAGAAGCGACAGCAGACGGAGAAGTCTACTTATCTCCTAAAGGGCCCCATGGCTGTCGAGACCCCCCCACCTCACCCCCGGGGGCTCGCCTCCACTTCCTCCTCCTGCTCCTCCTCCGTCCCCGCCGAGCGCGCGCTGAATCCCGGGTGCGCGCGGCCAGTCAAGCGCCCCTTCGGTCCGTGGGCATCGAGACCGCGCGCACGCAAGAGCAAGATCGGCACAAGTCCACGAGGCGCCCAAAAAGGAGACAAAGTGACAACGTGTCAACATAAAGACGACACGAATTAGAAGAAAAAGACAATCCGAGTGAGCGCCTCACAGAAAATGCTGCTCCCACCTCCACTGCGCTCGCTCTCTCGCAATCTTTCCCTCTCGCAGTCAGCTGGAAGCAACACGGGTCGCTCATGTGACGTCACAGTCGACGGGGGAGGCTGCTTTGAATACGACGGCCACTCCCACTCGCTGCGTTCAGGCTCTGCCAAAAGATGTGAAATATCAAAACAGATTTCCACTAGTTTGCCAGACACTCGAGTTGGGATTTGTTTTCTGTATGATTTTTTAATCTACCACCCTCCTTGGAAAAAAAATGTGAGGGGCGGGGAGGTAACAAAACCGTGTGTCACCTCCTTGTTTGGTAAAAATCTTTATTTCCTATATTACGTGAAGGCATCAGACAAGACAAGCTTTCCGGGAGCCACTCAGGCCACGCCCACGTTTGGAAATCCTTTCTGGATTGGTTGTTAACGCATCATGCATCAGCCCCTCGAAAAATTAAAACACGCATGACACACGCTGAAACTGGTTGCCTCCAAATTCTCATTTTTGCACACACACATCTAGACTCACTCACAAATACACAAAGATGCCCAAAGACCCAAACACATTAACACGGTCACACATAGATACACACAAATGTTCAGGCGCTCGTGCACTGCTGTTCACGCAACCATGCACACTTGACTCAAACACACACAATCATACTGTACGTACCCACAGAGAAACTCAGACACACACTCGTGTACAGACGCCCACTTCAGTACATGCACACATCACAAAAAGACAAACGAAAACTCACGCTGGTACGCACGCATACTGACATCAACACAAGTACAAAGAAGCACACGCGCAAACGAAGCCACTCATGCGTATACACACACAGGTATCCACACGGATACACGCGTGAGTGTCTTCCCTGCACAGCACACACAAGGGCCAGCCTCCACGCACAACGTGAGAAGCCTGAAGTGAACACAACACACACGCTTATTACGTCACACTAGTGTGTGACAAGAGCGAAGTGAAAACAAACGCCACTGCCATGTCGGATTGGACGCGCTACAGTCCACTCAGGAGAAGTCTCTGCCGACGGCGCGCGTTCACGTGAGAGCAGAAGAAGAAGAAAGCGCGCGCGCTTGCGGCTCGCCATTTGTTCTCCCGCCAAGTGCGAACCGCGGGATCACGTGTCAGCAGCACGCGCCGAGCGGCGATGGCGCCTCACGCTGATTGGCTGAAAGTAGGTCACTCCTGGAACCTGTCCCGGCTTCCCCATTGGCGCAAAATAGGTCACAGGCTCCGCCCACAGGTTTCCCCATGCCCTGGCCACGTGACTGTGAGTGGGGAACCGGCAGTACAATCTCAACGTTTGACAAGAATTTTCGGAAGGGATTCGTGGATCGTATTCAGTGTTCACGCTGCCCAATTCTAGTCCATAAATATATTTAAAACTATTGAATGAGTATTCGTTCTTGAATTTGTGTTGGTATAGTTATCCTACCTTTTATTTGAACTGTCACAGCTTTCTTGTCACACGTTCAATGATTGTAGGACGTAATTATGAAAATTGCACATTGTCCATCTATACTGGGTTAATAAATACATAAATAAAACAGCGTCAGCTCCAGCATTGCATTCTGGGAACACCAATCAATTTCCTAGAAGTACTCTGAACATCGACGCAAACAGTTCACGTCACTGGACAGCAACGTGCCACTCGCAAAAGTACAAAACAGTCCCACGTCACGAACAGACGCGGACCCGTGCGCGCACAGACCCAGCATGTCATTTCAGGCAGCTGCCATGTCTTCTTCTTGAGCTGAAAAGTTGTAATTGCGCCATCCTGTGGCCACTATTTGCTATTGTAGCATTTTGAGGTCCAAAAGAAAAGGTTTCTTGTGACCTTTAATCCCGATTTTCAACATATGGTGTGGGCGAGAGCGGCGAACTTTCGTGCTCAAGGACCACATTTGATTTATTTATTTTTTTAATCAAGAGGGCCAGTTAATTTGTAGGCCAAAAATATATTGAAAAAAAAAACTACTGCCAAAAATATGTTTGGCAAATATTTTTTTCATTAATAATGCACTTACAAAACTTTTGATTCAACAATCACTTGATGAAATACAATGCGCTTTGTACATTTATAGTTTGCAATTTCTACCCCGCAAAATTGATCTACAATAAATCAATTCGTTTCATGAGTGCAATTAAAAATAGATTTGAAAGGTAATATTCTTCACTAATTCCCATTAATGCCTACATTTTAATTAAATCTAAATGAACTTCAATAAATTATAGCTAAACGTTTTTCAAGACTTGATTTGCAACACACAAATGAACAATCTAATCAATTCAGAGATTAAAAATGAAACACTTTAATTGACCAATTTTGCTGGAATAGTTTGACATAAAAAAATAAAAGTGTTGATACATTACTCAAAATCAGCTCCCCCCCAACATCAAATTATTTAAATGGATACACCGAATGTTTTTTGGGCTGAGAATTTAGAGGTTCTGGTCAGTCTTTATTGAAACAGCAAAACAAAACACATTTCCCCATCAAAATGACTCCCTTGAATGCAGCACGTGATGACAAAAAGGCCAAGTGATTTTTTTTCTTCAAATTTTTAATTTGACTTAAGGGGTTTTCAACAAGTCACTTTTTTATGAAAAAAAAAAAAGAATAGTCATTTAGTAACAATAATAATAACAATATTACATGTTTTAGTTGTACAGAAACCAAAAACAAAAAGGTTGAACAATGTGAACAGGAGTTAAATCATAAACTATGCGTGCACGCTTGGGTCACAAAATGTGTGGCAGGGAAGGAAAAGAATCAACACGAGTGGACATAGAGCGAAACCCCTCCCCCCCTGACCTGACCCATTGCCCCGCCCTCACAATACCAACACTGATAGAAGAAGAGAATCGGGGAGTAAAAAACAGCAAGCTGTCAAGTTATAATAAAATATAATTGAGAATTATATCAATACACTCCGGGTTTTTTTTTCTACAACAAACACTGTCGGCTCTCTCAAAAAGCCCACCTTTAGCTTTTTTTTTTTTTTTTTTAATGTGTTGTTTTTTTTTTTTCCCAAACAAAAATTTCAGTCGCGTCACCTGTTTTCATTTTCTCAAGGATCAAGAAGAATAATAAGGCATCTGAACTGTGCTGGAGAGTCAGGAGGATCTGATGGTGAAAAGTGGCGCGTGGCCGTTAAAAACCAACCGCAGAACGGACACACGACATAGTGTTTACATAGGACGCAAAGCGGCGCGTGCGCACGTCGGGCCGTGTCTTCTGTGCATGCGCGTGGCGTTCTTCCGTCCGTCGGATTGCCGTTCTGTCCTCGTGTGTTCGCTCTGCGTGTGTGTGTCGGTGCGTGTGAAGGAAGCGTTGCGGGTGCTACTAAAAGTGTAATGTCACAAGGTGGTGATGTGCCTTGGCAGTAGGTTTTGGAGCCATGAGGAGTTTCTTCCTCTGTCTTCTTCTCCCTTTTGTACAAAAGCTGCCAGCTGTCGCTCGCCTCTCAGATTGTTCCACACATTAAAAAAAAAAAAAAGGGAGACAACAAATGAATAAACTAACATACAAACTGGTGGAGTTCTTAATGAGCGTATTCAGTCAAAACCGAGGACCTCTCATGCAGCACCTGAGCCGACGGAGGTAGCGGGGCCGGCGAGCGCTCGCCCGTCTCGACGGGGGCCCGCTGGCCGTCGGCCCAGCGGGCCCCCAGAGCGGGCGCCCGGCACGAGAACTTGTGCCTCTCCAGGAGCCGCGAGCTCCAGAAGCAGCGTCGGCATTTGTGGCAGCGGAAGGTGGCGCGCTTGAGGTGGCGTCCGCGGTGTCGCAGGGCCTTGAGGAGGCTGCCGCTGCGCCGGCCGCACGTGGGGCAGCACAGGCGGGCGCGACGCCCCGATGTCCGAGGCGGGTGCCGGAGGGCGCGGTGCAGCAGGAGGAAGCCCCTCCTGGCGTAGGTGGCGTTGGGACAGACGGGACACAGGAAGCGCTTGATGGGGACTTCCATGGAGAGCAGCCCGCTGACCTTGACGGCGCCCCCGGACCAGGACCTGACCGCCGACAGCCCCCCGCGGACCCTCAGCTGTGCCAGGAGCTTCTTCTTGTTGATCTGAGCCAGCATTCGACCCCGCCTCCTCCGCAGGAGCAGCAACTTCCTGCGAGTCTCCTTGCTGAGCGGCACGCCCACCAGCTTGCCGTCCCTCATGATGCTGTGGATCACCACCCGTCTCTTCTTCTTGCGCTCTTTCCGAACCCCCTCCGGCTGCTTTCGGTGCCGGTAGTGAAACGGCTGCTGGGGGTCTTGCTGCTGCTGCGCGGGCGGCGCCAGGGCGTGGCCGCCCACGTGCTGCTCGTGGGCCGGCCCGCCGTAGTCGTAGAAGGCGGGAGAGTAAGCGGGCGCTTGCGAGTGGTTGACCCTCTGGCCGTTGCGGTCGATGCCGTGCTGCGAGAGCTTGTGGCGCACCAGGCTGTTGGAGTAGGCGAAGGATTTCCCGCAAACTTCGCAGCGGAAGGACTTCTCCAGGCCCACGCCGCCGCCGTGCACGGTCTGCTGGTGCGCCGTCAGGTGGAAATAATGGCGGAAGGATTTCCAGCACACGGTGCAGGTGTAGAGCCTCTGGGAGGGGGTCCCGGACGTGGGAGATTTCTCCTCTTGGGAACAAGACGAGAAGAAGTCGGAGGTTCCCTGATTGGCGACCTGGCTGATGGCGGCGGCGGCAGCGGCGGCTCCTTTGATTCTTCTGCCCTGGTTGTCGATCTCGCCTCTGCGGTGCAGCTTGCCGTGTCTGACGAGACTCTGAGCGTAGGCAAACATTTTCCCACACAGGTTGCACTTGTAGTTCTTCTGGCCCGAGTGCACCGTCAGATGTTTGGTGAGGTGGAAAGGTTCTCGGAACATCTTGCCGCAGACGTCGCAGGCGTGCGGCTTCTCGCCCGTGTGGACCCGATTGTGGCGTCGCAGGGTCTCGGCCCGCCGGAAGCGCTTGCCGCACAGCTGGCAGCCGTACGGCCGATCCGAGCTGTCGCCGGGGGGCGCCGGACTCCGCCGCCTCCTGACGACGCAGTTGGGGTCTCTTTTTTCTCGGGGCTTGCGGGGCCTGCGGGGTTTGGCGTGCGGCTGGCTGTGGTGAGACAACGGCACGGTGGAGCCGTTTATCCCCGGCGAGGACGACGGCCCGCCCAGGTTCCCGAACCCCAAGCCCCCGAGCAGCCCGCCGATGATGTCCCTTCTTTCGCCATCCCTGCCTTCCGTGTTGATGTCGCAGGAGGCGGCGGCGGCGGCGGCGATGGCCGACATGGCGCTACTGGTGACCTCGTCCTCGGAATCGTCCAACAGGGAGGAGAGAGGAAGGTGCGGCTGCTGGTGGTGGTGCTGCTGGCTCTGCGGGTGGGGGTGAAGGGTCGGCGCTAAAGGGGCCTTGCGGAGGGTTGGGTTGTTGATGTCGAGGGCGGCGTCCGGCGAGTAGAGCGACGACGGCTGCGAGCGTCTGTAATCGTCCTCGTAGGAGGACGCCTGTCCCGGGTAGCGACTTCTCGAGTAGTCGCCGCTGTACTTATTGTTGGGAGGGGCGTTTGGATTCGAAAGGCGCATTTTCCCACCGCCGCTCGCGTTGACGGACGAACCGCCGTTGCCGCGGTTCTTGGAACTCCGGGGAGGTTTTCCGCAGGCGCCCGAGGCGGCGTGGTTGAGGAGGGAGGTGCTCTCGCGGAAGCAGCGCCCGCAAGCCGGGCAGCGGAAGGGCTTCTCGTCGTGGATCTTCTCGTGGCGCGTGAGCGACTCGCGGCGGTTGAAGGACTTCTGGCAAATGTTGCAGATGAACGGCCGGTTCTCCGAGTGCGTGACGCTGTGTTGAATCAGGTGGCCGCGCTTCTTGAATCTTTTCCCGCAGTCCCCGCAGCAGAAGATCCTCTCCGGGCTGGGGGACGTGCAGTCCGACTTCCTGCCGTGGGCTTCGGGCGTCAGGCCGTGGCTGCGCAGGTGCCGCCGCAGGCTGGAGAGATGCGTGAAGGTTTTCCCGCACTCTCCGCAATGGTACAGGGATTCGGGTTCGGGGTGGCGCGATGAGCTGCGGTTTTCTCTGGGTTTGGGCAAGCGCTGGTCGCCGTCTACCGGCACGGAAGCGGAGGTGGAGGAGGATGGGGCGGACGAGGACGAGGAGGACGACGAGGAGGACGAGATGGCGGAGGACGACGGGTGTTGCGACGGAGACGAGAGTAGAGACGAATGCTGCTGCTGCTGCTCGGTAATCGCGACGTTGCCGGACACTCCTCCGACCAGGGCCGAGACGGACGAGCCGTGCCGATGGCTCCCCGAGCCGCCGTGAGCGTGACTCTCCGCCTTCCTCTGCGGGGGGCATG